GAAAGCAAACGCAAAAGCAAGAACAAAAACATGTCAAAAGATTGACTGTGAGACTGAGGTATATAAGTTGATCCCGTGGTCATTTACAATAAAAGTAGGTCAAAGAGGTTATTTGATTGACATCCTTTTTATGCATGCATTGTACGCTTTCACCGTCTGAAGGTGAAAGTAAGCAAGTGTGAGGAAGCTCAGGAGTATGCGCAATCAGATAGAGATGACAATAAACCTTGTACTACCAACAGAAGGCGGCAATCAAAAAGTCAGCATAATTACTGCAGTAGGACTAGGAAATTAATTTGAAATCTAGACAGTGCTTTGCTTTGGTAACCACCTGTTCTGGTTACGTGTAGGTTTTGGCCCTTCTCCTGTCAAACAAAGTCATGCTAAGGAGGATGCTGAAAGCAAAAGGTTTCTGCGCTTGTTATGTCACCTTGGTCATGTTTCCTGCAGTTTTTTTAATAATTAAAGCAGCTTCCTAAAATCAGTTTTTCAAAAACATCTTCCTGCCTTTTTTTGTGTTGCCTTGATAGGCTGTGTGTGAGAAGGCACTCTGCTAGATTCAAATCTGAAGAATCAAAACCTACTGAAGACTTCTTTGAGATAGATGAAGCCAAATTGCCTGAATGTCCTTCGCGTGATGATCGAATGCTGGAAGATGGTTCAGCTACTATGTCTTCATTAGTCAAAACAGAGGATAAAGATGAGAGTTCTGGCCCGATATATAAACCCCAAGAAATTGGAAGATCATCTATAGGAAGGCCATTGCGCCAGGCAGCCAAGAAGGTTCAGTCATACAAGGAAACTCCCGTTAATGTGAAAATGCGCAGACCTGAATAAGCCTGATCTTTTTGACACAAATCATTGTATGGTTAGTGCAAGTTGCTGCAGAGTGCCGAAGTATCAAATTCTTCGTTACTTAAGCTGTTATGCTCCTTGCAAGCGACATTTTTGTGCTTTTTGTTCAATCTTTTGAGCACCTCGGAGTTTGACTGCTTACTCACTGTAATAGCTGAAACTTGATTACATTCTCTCTTTATCATCTGCAGGATGTTGACAAAGGAAATGTATGTGATTGAGCTGTGTTGATCAAACTAGGCTTTGTGACTCATACTTGCTCTGTGTGTGTGTGTGTTATCTGTTGTCTTTTTACGAGTTTTAATGTTGAATGGCTCAGATTTCATATTGAATGGCTCAGATTTCATATTCCTTCTTCCTTGCATACATACAGAATCAAACAGTGTTGAATGTTTCGTTTCCCTCTTTTTTTTTGTTTTCGGATCAAGTCAAATGGATGATTGGATCAAAACCTCCATTGGAATCCTTAAAATCTTAATATCCGACAGGTTACTGATACACTATTATACATTCATAAAAAGATACTACCTTTTATATATTGTTTGTTCTTAGATTAACTATATGCCATTTGGTGATTTTAATGAAAAAAATGCTCAATATGGAAAACTAGCTTGTACTGAGGAGCAGGAATATGACTGCCACTTCTTGCTATGCATTAACAACAATCAATTTTTGGACCATCCTTGTGTTATTCAATCATAATCATCATAGAAACACCGGAACCTATACGAGTAGCACAGCGCCATGGAGGTAGCTTGTGAAAAACTGTAATGTATTAATAGTAAGTCTAACTCAACTCTCTATTTTAATTATTAAAAATATATTTAAATATTATATTCTCTATTTTAGATAATCATTTTTACAAGTTCACTTCAATGATGCTCTCTCTATTTTAACTAACTACTTCAACTAACTTTCAATAATTTGAAGGAGATTGAAACCTAGAGAGAGAGAGAGAATTTGAAGAGATTGAATGACTTTTCAAATTTGGAGAGTCATTTTAGTGAAATAGAAAATAGAGAGTGTGATAGAGAGTGGGTTGAAGATCTTTTTTAGTCTTTGATTAGATAAAATAATTAAAAAGAGAAAAATAGAGAGTGAGTTGGAGTTCCTCTAAGTTTTATTCTTCCTAACGACTTCTGGGTTTATCTAGAGGTGGCTTGATATGTTTTGAGGCTTAAAGCGATAAATTCAACTAAAATTATTTTTTTAATAATAATGTAAATTTTTAAATTTTTTTTTTCCAGATGCATATTAATTGTTTTATATTCGTATTGAAGTTTTTCTAACTTATCTTTTTTATTGATAGTATAACTAATTGACTTAATTTTTAAATTAAATAAAAATTTCCAAAACTTTCAAATTCAAAGATTATTTGACAAATTATGTTATCTCGTCATTGACACTCTTTTAAAAATATTTTTCTATGAATTAGGGATTTCTCATAGAATATATGTTTGATTAGATTTTTTAAGATTATGATAAAAAAAATAAAATATTACATGGACCTTATTTAGTGACTTTATTTGACGATCTTATCATTTTTTGTTATTAGATAGACAGTGCGCCCTACTATTAGTTGAGACCTACTATCAATTCCATAGTTATGATTCATCATGTCACCATATAACATTACTAAATTCGGTATAAAAAATATATTTTTTTTTCCTTATAAAATGTTATTGTGTGAGATTAATGAATTAAATTTTTGGGCCCAACATTACTCTAGAGTTTTTTTTGTTGGTTTAGGCCTTCATATGAGGCTTTCTTAATGGGTTAAAATTAACTTGGGTTATATTTGTAGACTTTTAAAATTTTGGGGCCCTTTTATTAATGGGCCTAAAGTAACCGCTTCATTTCCTCCTGTGTTAGGCTGGCCTAGGGTTTATCCGGTACTTGTGGCAAGTGGAAGATTGAAGGTATCTAGAACTAAGGCCGATAATCGAGCAAAGTCTGTCAAATTCGTTTTTTTGAAATGAGTTTAAAAAATTGTTCAAACTCGAATAATTTTTTGAGCTCAAAACAAGTTGAATCTAAACAAAATCAAACTCGAATAACTCGACTATTTTACACATAAATGAGCATAACTTTACGAGTTCGAGTTTAGTTTTTTAGACTCGTTTAAAAAAATAAGTTTAAAAATTATTCAAACTTGACTAGTTTAACCTCAAACGAATTAAACTCGCGTAATTCGAGTTCAGCCCTACCCAGAGTAGCTCTGTATGAAAGGACCTCGTAGGACTGATAATTGAACCGAACTACTCGCGTTCAACTCGGGCTCGACTCAGATAAGGCTTGATTTGAGCTCTTCGTGTTCTAAACTAGCTAAATTTGAACAATTTTTTAAACTTATTTTGTGCTCGACTTGTTTATATATAATGGAAAATTGTGAGCAAGTACTTTTTAAACTACGTAATTATAAGAAAATACTTTTACTAAAATCTTTTGTAGATAAGTACCTTTAACTTGAAATATATTACAGTTAGGTACTCAATGACAGATTTACAAATATTTTATTCACTAAAATACTATTTTCCTTATGTGAATGTTTGTTAGTTTGGTAATCCCATTTTTTATGGGGTTTGATTTATTATATTAATGATTTCATATTTTAAGGGATTAAACATATTTGAAATTCAAAATTATACTATATGAAATATATCTTATAACGGCTTGGCCTAATTTTTAAAATTTATTTTTTAATGTTAAACGTCTCTGATTGTTCTTAAATCTAACAACAGTGTCACCGTACAATGTTACACTATGATGTAACATTGTCATTCATTAAAAATAATATATATAAATGTCACATTATTTGATGCATACTATTTAAATTATGTATGAATCAGTAAATGTAATTTCATAGTTTTTTTTGTTAGTGATTAAAGTGTTAATGAAAGTATTACACTATCATATATCACTATAATGTCATATTATCAATAATTTGAATCGGAATAGAAGGATTGGTCTTCAATGACACTTCAATGTTTGTGATTTATTTTTTGGTTGAAAATTGAAGAATTTTATAGTAGTTTTTTTTTAAAAAAAATTTAAAAACCCATATTTTGAGGGATATATTAGTTGTCAAATTTAATGAAATTGTTGCATGATTTATAGCATTTTCCTTATCCACTATTTGCGCCACGTAAATATTACCTTGTGGGCATTTATGTCATAAAAAAAAAAATTTACTTCTACATAAAACATTTTGTACCGAAATTTTTTTCACAATTAAATAGTAAATGAAGTATTAGTTCACAAAAATTCCCTATATATAAAATTGTCGAACTACTCAGGCTTGATCTGAATTCAACTTGTTTTAAGCTCGTCTCACGCTCAACTCATTTTCTAAACGAATCAAGTTTAAATAATTTTTTAGATTCGTTTAAAAAAAATAAATTCGATAAATTTGACTTTAAACTCATAGAACTGGGTTTAATTATCGGTCCTAATTCCTCGTAAGGTGTAAACAAAAAAAAAGAGCAGGCGGGTCTACTAGCTATCCATCTGGAAAAGAAGGTGAGAAAAAGGGCGACATTAAAGCATCCTAGTCTTCCATTGGGCAGCACAAAACCGTGTTGCAGCACGAACGAATAGAAACAGAAAAAAGGTAAAACGAAAATGACACAAAGCTTTCTAAAATATTCAATGAAGTAGAAATAATTTGCTGGATACCAACATCAACCCTTTTCTGCTTAATCTTATGCATATCATCAGCATAAAGCTCCGCGTGTGGACTAAAGAAACATAAGAACATTAAAGCTCCTCCGCGTTAAGGATCTTGAAGCGGGCACAGCTCATCTGTAATACAGCAGAAGAGCAATTTCTCAAAATAATATTATTTTACGTACAAAATGAAGTCGTTTTAGGAACATCATCCCTGTTGTACGACAGAGGATCCGAATCCAATGGAAGCACAATGGCCGAAGTCCATTGGAAAATGTGAACCCATTACAAAATACTCTTTTAATTCCTAAATATTTATCGTTTAAAATTTTTATATAGAGATTAAGAAGACTATTAAATAACTGTAATATGAGTAAACAATAATTAGAACATTACTAAAATAATCTTATTCAATACGTATTGAAAAAGAAAGGAATATGACAGACACTTAACCTCCACCTAATTTAATACATTGAAAAGTGAAGGATAAATTTGAAAGAAAAAATATTAATTATGTTTTGGTTTCATTAAACGACAAATATTATGAAACAAAAAAAATATGTAAAATGACAGATATTTAGGAACGGAGAGAATAATTCTAAACGAAGTGGGAGCAATTCTATTAGAATCAAATTTGAGGATTTAATATAATTTATTATACCTATTAGATTTGCTGTGGTTTGAAGGTTGGATGAGACCTATTTTTAATTAAATGATTATGATGTAACTCGGGTTACTGCTAGTTGAGTGTGATTAGAATTTACTCACTGCCGTGTATTTTTCGTAACATCGAGGGAAATATGCCATGAAACGTATTCTGAAAATTCTTTGTCCCCTACTTATTAGGCTCGATCGTAAAGAAAATGGAGAGGATGGGGTAGAACTATTAATATGTCTGTGTTGTTACTAAATTTACTTGACTCATACCCAATTCATGCATGATAATCTTTAATTAGTTTCGTATTATGTCGGATTTGTATTATGTCTAATCCGTGTTTTGTAGATCTTGTGTCGGCTCATTTACTTGACAAGTAACGGATTTACCCGTTTATTACTTAAACCGATTAAGACTAATCTTCAACTCACTAATTTCGTAACTGTTTAATGTCGTGTTCTCTAGTCTTATGTATAATTAAGAGTTGCAAGTAGGGGTGTTCACCCTATCTTATGGGTAAGAAATATAGTTTTTCGTCTTCTTACATGATACTTTGCAAAAGAATTTTTTTTGACCTACCCTATCCAATCAAGTGTGGTGTTCTTACTCGACTTTTATCTAAATTAATTGGATAGGAAATTAGGTAAAAACTTTTGTAATTATTAATTTTTGGATCATTTTAACACTTCAATTAAATAACATGCATTAATTTAATAATACAATAAACCAATAACACTAAAACCTAAAACAATTACAACAACAATCAGCAAACAGAGTCATGTGAGTTAGCTTCTAAATTGTTCAACAAACAAAAACCAGCAAACTGTTCAACAACTTTGAGCATCAAACTGAAGTAACAGACAGCTCAAAACACACACATGTATGTAATTTAAGAAGAAAAACAGGTGATTGAAATGTAGAAACAAGATAAAACAAATTCTTAAAGAAATCATAAAAAAATATAAGTTTACCAAATCAGAAATCATGAATACATTCTTAATCTACAAGACCACTTTACTAAACTTACAAACATCAAGTTTAATCTAGAAGGAAAAACACTAAAAACAACAAGTTTAATCTCTCTGTTTTTCACCATTCTCTTCAAATCGTGCCCAAACAGTCAACTGAGATAGAGATAGAGAGAAAGATACACAAAGACAGAGAGATAGACAGAGACAAAGAGTGAGTACTTGGGAGAGGCTATTGTCGAGGTGATGAAGGTCTGAGGCGCTGGAGGTGATGGAGACGATGTAGGTGATAGAGACAAGAGAAGTGACTGAGCGATGAAAACTGAAGAGGTTTGAGAGGCAACTGGCGAGATTGTAGAGGCAATGAAGACTAAAGAGCTCAGAGGATAAGGTTAAGAAATTTGAGTTTAAATCTTGATAATTTTTTTGGGTTAGGTTATGATGGATTTATCCTTCGTGGATATCTTAGTTTAGGCCTTTGATCGAACCGGAGAAATGATTAGTTGAGATACACGTAAACTGATACAGATATCCTGACCGTTGAACTTAAAAAAAAAAAAGGCATTTCCAAACAATTCTTTTATATCCCCTGCCTTTTGTTGGTGATTTATTAATTTTATGAATATTTTTATACCTGTTATGATAATTATTTTTATTATTTTTTTTGGTGCTATAACAGTAATAAAAATATTAACAATAGTGAAAAAAATACATACAAATGTGATAAATATTGATACAATACCAAAATTTTTTTGGTACCATAGAGAACTCTCTCATTTAACATCCAAATTAAGAGAATATTAGGTCAACTCGACTAAGTTTAATAAATGAACCTAATTTAATACGGTCCTTGTGTTGACAGTGTATTTCATCAAATATTAAAATTTAGTATTAATTTAATAATTATAATAAAATCATATTATCACATTAATAAATAATATCTAATTTTTAAACCTAAATAACATTTATCATAATCAATAAAGGGTTTGACTTTGGTTTTAGGATTTTGAGTCCAAGTCCTGTTAGACACACTTTTTCTTTTTTTTTTCAATTTACTTGCCTTTTCTCCCTAGACAGGATAAATCAACTGTTTAAACCACTTCAATCATATGATGTCCCCTTGTAAAATGACGTGACACATTTAAAGTTTTTAGCTCTTTTTTTTTTTAATAAATTAGTTACATTCTTTGTTTAATTCACCTAATTCTTTTCCATCAATTCATCCTCTTAAATGTAACAACTTTTATGAGTTGTTTTTTCGGAGCTTTAATACTTTGAATAACTCTACCAACTACGATAAAATTTGATAATAATGTAATAACAATTTATTTTATCTCACATCTCTATTTTATATTTTGCACCTCTAAGAAAAAATATTGCCTTCGCCCTGAGCGCAAGTGCGAGTCAAGCCGAACCAAATCTCATTGTATCATCTAGAACGTAAATCGAGTTTGAACAAAATCAAAGTGCATTACATTGGAATTGAATTTGAAAAAAGATAACTAAAATTCAAAAATCTCATGCAAAAGTTTTTTTTGGATAATGGGAGAAATTCTTGGCTTGTCTCCGATGAATAGAGGAGTGCTTATGTTATTCAAGTCGTGAGTTCAAATAGAACGAAAGGCAAATTTCGGATACGTGAAATAGTCCTTCAATTTGTACACTAGTTAAATCACGATTTGCGATTTAGTGGTGATTCAAATACATACTAGAGATTTATATACAATTCATCCAATAACTAAGGTCCGTCCTATTAATCAATCATATTTTTGTCGCTCAAAACATATGAATTCTTAATTTTAAAAAGATAAAATTTTCACCAAACGAGAACTACTATCGGGCCAAAAGGCAGTTCATAAAGTCAAAGGTTGGAAAGAAGCTCCACAGTCCACGCGCTATGGCTTGGAAAAGGGCCCAATGGCTTCAATTGATGGGCCCCATCCTGATTATCAAGATGTTGAACCCACACGGCAACACATGGTACGACATTTTCTCTGAATTGCCAAAATGGACAGATTTAAATTTTTTAGTGTATTATTTATTATTAATAAGTGAAATATTCACTTATTTATAATAAATCTCACTTAAATGCAAAATAAATGATCTATAAAAATTAAAATTAAAAAAATAATATATTTAAAAAAATCTCTCTCACCACGACCCTATAATTTTCCTTTCCTCCAAGAATGAATTTTCTCTCCCGTGACTAATATTCTCTTTGTGTGAGAAAATTTTTAGCTCTTTTGAATAGCGAAATCAATTTTAATATATATTTTTTAATTTCTCTCAAGAATAGATCATTTATTATATATAATGGAGGAACTTCGTTATAATTAGTGGCTAAGGATTTGAATTCCTCTTTCAACATCATGCTACATAGATACCCAATTTGTACCATAAATATTGATTCGGCCCAATCCAAGATGTTGCGGAGATAACCTGAAGAGATAGAGATCTATTTAACGAACCAAGCTATTCAGTCTCGTCCAAGATTAACTTGTTAAGCCACATTTAAGATTATATTTAAACTCTTCTCTTTTGTTTTTTTGTTTTTTTTTTTGGAACACTTATAAGGTGTGAATTCTAGGGCAGAATTTATGAGCCGAAATCAGGACATCTCACACATTCAACACTTGCAAGCTAAGCGTTTTTGGATGCATGCTCCGTTCTCGTAAACTCTTGATGTAATGTTTGTGTCACCAATTAATGGTGACAGACAGGCAGGGGTTGAATCAAAAATTTCGAATTTTGGGGGACCAGTTCAATTATAAATTCAAGTGTGGTTCTGTGTGTTTTTCTTTTGCTACAAGGTGTTCAGACTTGTATGACTACTCTCTCGAACTCAATGATTGTTATCGTAACTTGAACTAGATTAAAACATGTCCTCAAAAAACAAAGGTTATTGGATCTTAGGGGATATGAGAAAAAATTGAATCTGAGACTTTTAAATTACTAAATATCAAACTCAACCCATTGAACCTGTCTTAAGGGTTAAATGAGACTCTCTGCTAATACATGATGAAAATTGAGATAATTAATGAGATTTAACATGTCATAAACATGATATGAAATTGGTTAATAGGACGGACTATTTCTTAGTTATCTTTTTGTCTTTTTTTTTTCCCTAGAACAAATATTATTTTTTGACGTCATAAATACATTTTGTTGGTTAGATATGAAGTAAATTTGCAATAATTTTCTTTCATTTCATTTCATTTCATTTTTAGATCCAGTATAGTATGAATTTTTGTAGAATTAAAGAATTTTTTCATTTAGTTTTGTAACCATCCAGAACGATTGGTCTCTGTTTATGGAAAACCTATGAGCAATTGATATAGTTGGGAAAGAAAAAGATCGTTATTTCTGAATCTTTTATTGAAGGGTTGAAATGATACACAGACTTAAAACTCTGATATGAGGATGTGGTTATTATATTTGTCATTGATTTAATTATATGTTTCAGTATTTATTGGGACTCATTACCTATTTAACGATAATAATTAATCAAATCAAGCTTTTAAGTCAGATATGATATAAATAATGAAAAGGTCTGATTAATGTTAGACAAGAAAATACAATTAATTTCATAGGTCGGGTTATAGGATTCATTGCACTATAGACAAATCCAGAATAGCACAAACCAAATAATATATAATATTTATCACGGTGAGTGATCTAAATTGAAAAAAATCGATAGAATTTAACTAGTACTATAAAGAATCTTAATCTCAACCTTTCTCTACGAGTTCACATTCCCTCCTCCATTTTATGGTCCTCGTGTACTAAGATTCTAATACTTTATATATCCACTAACCCTTTGGCCTTTCCATGCTTTTTGACCTTTGTGTCTTTGTCCAGCCATATGTCTTATGAGAAAAAGTAAAAAGAGAAAAAGAAGAAAGAAATGCAACTACTTAAACACTACAAGAGGTAACATAACCACTTGGGCATCTCTCTATATGCTCTGTTTTAGTTGAGACCATTACCAGAAAATGGAGGATCAAGACAGTCCTCTTAGCTGGGGTTACTACTACAAGGAAGAGGTAAACATCTCCTTCTAAAAACACTCTTGACTGTTCGCTATATTACCACAGTCTAGTACATGAATCTTCCGTTACTATTGAATTTAGGAAATGTCAAATATATTTAGTTTTAGAAACTCGAACATGTGACGTCTAGGTTATAATAGAGCAATCTTGCCACTGCACTAAGGTCTAACCTCTGTCACTATTTTGCCTTTGCTATATTTCTTCTTTTATATTGAGTTTTGTGGTGAGGGCGGACATTGGCGCAACGGTAAGATTGTTCTATTGTAATTTGGAAGTTACTAGTTCGAGTCGCAGAAATAGTCTCTTTGTTTGCAAGGGTAAGATTGCATATATTTAACTCTTTCCAGACTCCACAATAGCGGGAGTCTCGTGCACTGGGTATGCATTTTTATATTGGGTTTTATGGTAATGTACATTGTTGCTACTTGGCAGGGGATTGAGGAGTTGAAGCATTCTCTCTTGTACACAAGTCTAGAGCTAGAGGCTACACTCCTATCTGCTCATGAGGAGCTTGCAAGGAAAGATGATGAACTCATGCATTTCAAAACTCTTTTGACAAATACCATCAAGGAGAGAGACAAAACCCAGGCAAAATGCCAAAGGCTAATGCTGGATAAACTCATACTCCAACAACAATTGCAACCATACTTTCTACTGCAGCCAGAATTGGCTAGCATAGAAGGCGAACCGAGAGGCGGGGGTGAATCCAATACTCTGTTCTCTTCCTCAGATTGTGATGAACCCATCACCGCATCCCCGGGTAAGGACCCAATTCCACCACCAGCATTGCCGCCACCAGCACCAGCAGAAGTGGCAGAAAAATTAGTACTCGAAAAGCGATTGCCAGAGAAGGGAAAGTTTTTGGAGGCAGTACTGGAAGCAGGGCCACTCCTTCAAACACTTCTCCTGGCTGGACCATTACCTCAATGGCAGCACCCACCTCCTCAACTCAATTCCATTGAAATCCCACCAGTCACCCTTTCTTCTCCAAAACCAATGATTTTGCACCAGGACTCGTGTGTGAGTTCAAGTGGTTGCTTCAACAAGAAGAGGGGTCAAGTGAACAGTGAAGGATATGAATTATCTCCCAAAGCAAAGAATCAGAAGATGGTTCACCAATCATCAATGACCAACATCTAGTGCTTCCCATAATTAGCTAAAAAAAAAAAATCAGCATGAAATGGATGGGTATGATGCACCTTTTCGTACGATCCCGCGTCGGTTAAGTATGAACTCAGATGCGTGGATATAAATTCGTAGACACCCTTTCTTTGTAAGCTGGTTTTCTACAACGAGTTAGTGTTACTGCTTGAACCAGTGTAGTAGTTTATCTTAGAACCTAAGAAGCCTTAACTAATTATAAGAGAGAGAAAGAGAAGGCATAATCATAGCCTTTTTAGCCTTTAGGTTGGATGACTTTTACTTTTTCTTCTATGTCTACTCTAATTTCCATTAAGGAGTGAATTGGGGTTTTGAATTCTTCAAAATAGTGGGGAATATTATATGAATACCTTATATTTGCAATCATATAAATTAGGAAGATGAGTTATTATAATAGAACTCAAGTTAATTAAGCTTCTACATTATAAGTTATTCCCTCTTGGCTTCTACTTTAAAGTAGGCTGATGATGGTAAATATGACCTATATAACCAATCAAAAGATGTTCTTAATGCTCTTACTTTCAATCAAGTATACCTAACATGTATGGTGTGTGTCTGCCATTAAAATGGCATCTTAACTACATCTATTTCACTGTCATGGAATATGCAAAGGAAGAGGACCCCATTGGAGATTTAAAATTATGTATGGTACGTTTTATTAGTTTGGTCTATAAAATATCAATCAATTTTATCAATTTGGTCTTTAAATTATTTAAGGTTAATCGCAAATTTCATCTCGAAAGATTGTTCGAATTTCAAATTACACTCTCAAAGATAAAAAAAAAAAAATCTCAATTTACACTCTCAAAGATAAAAATTTGTATCAATGTGCACCTGAAGCTAACAACCATCAATTTGCCGTCTAAAACTAAATAGATAAATGACGTCTAGACCTCTCACATTTGAAATATTACACCTACATCTCTTGATAATCTAAATATGACTAAAATATTTTCCCAATTGGGCATCCAAATAATTATGTTTAAGTGATGTATTGCATTGAATATAAAAAATATTATATAAATACCTGCATTATATTAGACATTTAAATGTTAAGCTTGATTTTAAATTTTAGAGTATAACGGACTCACAAAATAAAAAGTAATATGAAAATTATAATTTTTTATTAGGATAAAATTATTTTTTTTAACGGTTATATTAACAGATATTAACGATAAGGGGTTATGTATTACACATGCACAAACGTCTAGCGGTGTAGCAGTAATATTTTAAATGTGAGGGGGTTCAAATAATTAAGTGATAAACTTGAGGGGGTCTATGTATAACTTGCCCAACTAATTTTAGACGGCAAGTTGATGGTTGTTAGCTTCAGGTGCGTATTGATACAATTTTATATCTTTGAGAGTACAAATTAAGATTTTTGATTTTTGAGGGTACAAATTGAGATTCAAATAATCTTTTGGGGTGAAATTTGCGATTAACTCATTATTTAATTTGTGTTTAGATAATTCTTACATAGACGGATCGTTAAGTTTTTTATAGATTGATCACGTGTTGGGCACGTGAAATTGTCTGAAAGAATGACATGTGGTCACTTCCGTCAAAATATTTAACGAATTGTCTGATTAGAGACCAAAGTAATAATTAAAATTTTAAATATTAAATTGATAAAATTAATATAATGAGGATAAAACTGACAAAATGAACATACTTTAAGAATTAAAAGTGTTATTAACCCATAAGATAACTACCCAAATGAGGCCACATATGTCGGGCTTTGTCCCGGTGTTAAGGTTGTCATTGTGCCCTAAACATCATAGGCTCGTGTTATAACGATGACAACAACACCAACAACGACAACAACAATAACAACAAAAAATGATTTTTTCCACAGCATGCATCACAAGACTATATTCGTTTAACCGTTTTTAAACTCTGTAATCAGAGTATGACAAGAATCTCATGTACTAAGTTGTTTTCTGGGAAAAAAAATCTCAATAGACGCACAGAAAGATGACAACTTTTTTGGTTGATCAAGTAAAGTTAGTTGAACCTTTTTGAAATCTGGCAACAAAAACATTGAAGTTATGGCTTGATGGACACAGGGAGGTCATAGTCATTGTTTGATATAAACCTCCATTTAACAAGTCAAAAGAAAGATATATATTAGAGTAACTTTCAAGGATGGTGCTTTCACTGGTGTAGTCATTTTCATGGAGGTAATCAGCAAAAGAGGTCCAATAGAAAATCTCAGACATTGCAGGACTGAGAATTGGGGCACAGGTAAAACGTTTGGCCAATTGTGGACAACCTCTAACATTTGATTACGATAGTAAAATACCACTTTTCGATACTTTATTTTTCTTTTTCATTCAGTTAAAATGTGCCACATGTAAAGTTTTTGTTTCTATTTTTTTATTTTACATTTTTTTTTAAATAATGGTTATAAGTCATCTAAATCAAAATAGACAATTCAGATCAAATTTCGAGACAGTATCTCCACAACCATAGCCTTATCCATTCAAAAAATTAGTCCGTTTTAGTAATCATTGGAATCCCTGGGGTACCAAACATTCGGGTAATGGTAGACTGCTTGAAAAAATTGGACAAAAAACAGACTCAAAAGAGGAGGGTTTAAGGGAAAGATCAACCAGGAAATTTCAAAACTTCATAAACTTTATAGACAAAAGTTGCTTGATTGAGTTAGAAAGTAAAGGTTGTAGATTCACTTAGGATACCCACAGACAAGGAACAACAAGGGTATGAGAGAAGTTGGACTAAGCAATGGCATTGCCAAGCTGGAGGACAACACATCCAATTAGATATGTTTATCTAATTATAATTATTTATGTTGATTTTCAACATTAGTGTAATCAATCAGGATAGTTAACTTTGAAAACACAATAAACGATTAATTTAAAAATAAGAATTTAAGAATTAATTCTATGAAACTCACAGAGAATCATAAACACTATTCATATCAAGGAATCAATCAAATTAATGAATAGTCAAACAATTATAGAGAGTGTAAAACTTTACTAACTATCACTCAAATTAACCTAGAATTTTAGAAAAATATAACATTCAGACATATGAAAAATCTATATAATAAAGTTGTTTATAATTCAAATTTCAAAAGATAAACAAAATGACTTTTGTTATTCGTGGTTGAGATCGCTTTAAATTTTACTTTAAAATTAATCTAACGGCTAATATTAACATACTAAATTTAATAGGAAAAATAGACCCCTAAGAGTGTGTTTGAAGTGACTTTTTAAAAGTATTTTTAAAAATTATTTCTCATAAATATTTAAAAAAAAATAGTACTTGAAACCGCTCCACCACCACCTCTACTATCTCCGTCACTACCACCACCACCACCACCACTACTACCATAGCCGTCGTCGCCACCACCGCCGCCCCACCCTTATCGCCGTCGCCAATGTCACCAGTATCGCCACCACCATCACCACCACCACCATCGTTGCCGCCACCACCACCATCGCCGCCACCACCACCACCACTACCGTCATCACCACCATCGCTACCGCCGTCGTCGCCTTTGCCACCACTACCACCGCCGCCCTTATCGCCACCACCATCCCCGCCACCACCATTGTCGCCTCCACCACCCCCACTGCCACCACCACCCCCACCATCATTGCCATCATCATTGTTGCCGCCACTGCCGTCATTGCCACTGCCGCTGCCGCCGTAACCACCAGCACTGCCACCACGGTCATTGTCACTCACCACAACCATCATCATCTCCTACTACCACAACTACTGACCACCACCTCTCACCCCCCACTACAAACCAATGTTTAAATTCTTTTATCTCTTCTTTATGGTTGTGATTTGATTTTGGATATGAATACAAATATGTTTATTGTTTACCATTTTTTATTATTTTGTACCTTCAGGTATAGACAATAACTTGTAATTGTATAAAACATAAAATAATTAATTCACAATCTAAGATTTATACCCTAACTAAATAATACAAAAGAAAATTACTCACCAGTCATAAGAAAACTTTAAAGCAAAAATAATAAAAAGAACTATCATCCAGGATGCTCTCTCACAGATGAAAGCCACTATTTATAAAAATAGATTAGGTATATGTCAAGGAGTAGGCTTTACAAGAAATCCGGAACTCTGATGACACTTGGGCACTGGCTTTAAAAAGGCTCGTTTGGACGGCAGTCCCTACGTCCGGACAGTGAAGATTCACTGGAATTTGCATTCGGATAATGCTTTTGGCGTCCGTCGGATAAGTCTGGACAGTCCCTACATGGCATTCAGACTATAATTGGTGTCGTCTAACTTCAATCATTGAATTCGGATAATGCTTTTGATGTCCAGACGATACTATTTATTCAACTTTTCCTTGGGTTTTGTGCTCCGATCTTCTGAGAATGAGTTTGGATCACCAATGTATATCAACTTTGCTTTGAATTTCGATCCATGTTCTAATTTATGATTTTGCCCTTGAGTCCAATTTACTCTTAATGATCAATCGATTCACCAATTAGTTATGTCTATTATTTTAATTTTTCAACAGAAACTTAATCCAAAAGAAAATTAATGAGTGGACGTTTTTTTAGAATCCTATTGGGCCTAGATACCGGTCTTCAAAAGACTCAAAACAAAAAAAATAAAAATAAATAATAACATTAAATATTACCATTTGAAAAAAATAAACATTTGAATGAAACTTGGCTGCTGCAAATCTCCATTATCCCTTTTGGCATAGGAAACTTAAGCTTTTGATGGTATAAAGAGTGCACTACCGTCAAAGTGTGCAACCATGTTCTTTGCATGATAGCATTGTAAGGGAAATCAAACTCTATTACTAGAAATTCCACTAGAAGCGTGATGATCCCGACACTGGCTAGGAGGGTAATTTTTTTTAAGGGGTAACACATATGAGCCGTTGAACTCCACAAGAGATGTCTTTACAAGGTTTAGATCCTTGTGGGTGACCCCTATTTTCTGGGAAAAGTTCGGGTACATGACCTCAGATGAACTTCCCGAGTCCAATGCGATAGTCTTTACATCATACTTCTCGATCCAAAGGGTGATGATAAGGGCATCTTCATGGGGGAGGACAACTCCAGCCAAGTCGACATCCGTGAAAAAAATGGTCTTTGGATCGGATCGCGCCTTCTTCAATGGTTGCCTCTCAGTTGTTGTTCATCCACTTTCTTAGCCTGTGCAACTCTCTGCAAATCAACACGAAGAGAATTATAGGTCGGTCTATCCACTGTACAGACGTGTATGACTTCGATGAGATTTGCCACTCCTCGGGTTATCTTGTTAGAGGCTTTAGTGGCACCCCCAACATTAGCATTGTCGATGAACTTGCCGAGGTAGCCTTCTTGTACTAGCTGCTCTAGAAATGCTTTATACACCCTGCAATTTTCAATGAGATGCCCAACGTCCCGGTCATATGAACATCGAGAAGTTGAGTTCCAGATAGACGGGTACCCTTGCATTTTGGGTGGCCACTTAAAAAATAGCTCCTTTTTGACCTTATGAAGCATCTTATAGATGGGTTTCTTGAAGACCGTGTGGATCTGATGTAGATCGTATTAGGGAAGAATTATGAATGAAAAGGGAAGAAGAAAGGGATGAGAAAAGAAGAAGAAGGAGATGAGAACAGAGAGAATTTTAGAAAGAAGATTCAATATCAATAATCAATAATCAAAGTCTAATCTCACAACAAATATGTGTCCCTTATATATATAAGGAGTTCACAAACCCTAAAAAAAAAAATCAAAATGAAAATTAAACCCTTAAAAGTTAAAAGAAAATATTTAAAAGATAAATACTAAATTACTCTCATGTTTAATCTAAAATATCTATCCAATTCCTACACGATTCCCATCATTCTCCTCCGGTTGAAAAAAACTCTCCTCCGAAGAGTCTTCAAAGCAGAAGTACCCTAAGAGAGCAGGATAAAGATGACATAATATCTCATCTATAATGAAAGAACCGTCGACATCTTTCCATCGACTAGGATAAATGCAATAATCACCATCTGTATGAACACCTGCGAATAAAATAGGAGGCTCTGGAGTACCTCGATTAAGCAGCATGTCCTCCAAATAAAAATCTGGACTAATACTAACATTCAATGAAAAATTAAGCAAATAAGCATTAGATCTAAACTCAAGAATAACAAAACAATTCTCATTAGATTTGAACAACTGACAGTCAACGGAACAAGACATCAATGACAAATGAGTGATTATAACACTTTGGTGCTGAAAATAAAAAAGTACAGACTCAATTGAACACTTGACAGTAGACAAAGAATCAAAGTTAACAATCTCAAGTGGGGCAGAATCTAGAACAATGTCAACAATCTCAGGTGGAGAAGAATCCGAAACAAAATCAATAATCTCAAATGAAGAAGAATCCACAATAATGTCATCATGATTCGAAATAGTAGAGATAAAATAATTGCCAACAGATTGTAAAATAGATAACTTAATATGCTCAACATCTTGCATAGGGACTAACTGAATGAATTTTTCCTCAAGTTCAATGCTTAGTGGTGATTCAACTTTTGGCACCGATGAGGTAGGAAACATGATAGGATCAAAAATAATCTCATCACTAGTATCAATGCTCAAACGATTGAAAGTATGTTTTGAAGGATGTAAAGCATGAGGGTCCAATAGAACAGAAATATGACTATCATTATACGGGTGTCCGACATTAGGTGAAACTGAAGACTTGTCCTTATTTTCTTCCATTTGCTGACTTGCAAGAATTTAATTCAAGTGAAAAAGTTGACTTGTTAATTCAGATAATTGATTTTTCACCTCTCTACATTCTTCACGTAATTGGTCGAGTGAATGTTTAGTGTTGACAACTTCAATTTCAAAGATCTCAACCTTTTTTCCTAGGGCAATTTGGGCTTTTGAATGGTCACTAATAACATTGAAAATTGATCCAGATTGACCTTGATGATGACTTTGGAAAGCATGATGTTGGTAACTGTTATATAACCAAAGTGTTCTAGAGTAGTATTCTAGATAATCTTCATAATAAAACTCAAACTTATTATAGACTTTATGATGACTCTGAGAAGTTTTAGGAGTGGAATAAGTATAGTGATGACGTTGTGGAGAAATATGAACTTGAGACATCCTTGATGTTGGATAAGTATATGAATAAGCATCATAATGATCATATGAACTCATGATTGACTTTAAAAGATAAGAATAACATAAGAATGAGTTCAAAAATACAATTAATAATTATGAAAAATGAGAAAACTTAAATAGAAGAAAATATGTTTTATATCATTTGTAAATTCTCTAATTTTTCAATAAATAAAAATATTAGTCTCAAATTTCATGGGAGTATGCATATTATAATTAAGAAGAAATTTTGAAACTTTTGGAGATGATTTTGTAATTTTTAAAATTTCTGGGGGAAGATTTTATAATTTTTAAAATTTCTGGTCGTAGTTCTACAACTTTCTAAGGTGTTTCTATAATTTCTGAAACAATTAGGATTTTTTTATAATTTTCTAAATCTGTTGGGACAATTTTTTTTTTCTCACTAATGAACAATGTTTTCGGAGGGACAATTTTTTCGGGTGAACAGTGCACGCGTGAACAGTAACTTCTTTTTTTTTTTTTCAAATCGAAGTTAGGCTCTGATATCAAATTGATGTAGATCGCACTAGCTCTGATACCAAATTGATGTAGATCGTATTAGGGAAGAATTAGGGATGAGAATAGAAGAAGAAATTGATAAGAAAAGAAGAAGAAGGAGATGAGAATAAAGAGAATTTTAGAAAGAAAATTCAATATCAATAATCAATAATCAATAATTAAAGTCTAATCTCACAACAAATATATATCCCTTATATATATAAGGAGTTCACAAATTCTAAAATAAATAAATAATCAAAATGACAACTAAACTCTTAAAAGTTAAAAAAAAATATTTAAAAGATAAATATTAAATTACTCTCATGTTTAATCTAAAATATCTATCCAACTCCTACACGATTCCCATCAGGATCTCTTTGAAAGATACGTGAGTCGGAGTTGGGATTGTTGTCCCTTTTTTACTCGGGGCTTTATTTTCCTTTTTGGAACTGATAGTTTTACGTTCTATTAGCGACAGTCACTTCCTCTACCTTTGAATACTTGTCAATGTGGGCCATCAGGTCCTTCATGTCAATAGGGGTCCTTTTGGTTAAGGACCGGTATAGATCGGTGTTCCGGAATAATTTGAGCTTGAAGGTTGCAACAACCATGGTCTCGAAGCATCCTTTGACTTCATTGACTTCCTCTAAATATTGAGTTGCATACTGTCGAAGAGCCTCCCCTTCCCTTCATTTTAGCATCGACATCTTTTGGCCTCTCACTGCTAGTGATAAACCGAGCTGTGAATTGTCCTGTCATCTATTTTCAGGATTTTATGCTCTCAGGATCAAGGCCCTCATACTACTTTATTGCGGTATCACTGAGACTCATCAGGAAAACACGACACAACAACTTGTGGTTTGTGTCATAAATGAACATAAGTTGTTTATACTGTCGAATGTGGCTCTTGGGGTCTGTCCTTTTGTTGTAAATCTCGAAACGGAGGATGGTGAATTTTTTGATGCATCTCAACTTCCCCGATACTTTGAACAAAGGGAGATATAATCAGCTCGTCTTTGATGTCATCATCCACTTTCTCCCAGTGTAATAAGTGTTTTCCCATTATGCATCGTTAATGCTAGGTGATAGACAACCAAGGTTGAATCATTTAAGATGAGTCATTCATTCATAGCTTCACGTCCCAAACATCAAGTGCTCTACAATAAAATGTGCATAGCCTAATGTCAAACATTTATGAGGAGACGTCGAGATCTTAGTCGGACATCCCCAAGGGCTATCCAGCTGCAGTAAGAACCATGCCTTGTCTTTTTGGTGGTTAGACCTGAGCCCCCTGTGGACAAGACAATTAATGATAATTTGTCACATCAACACACTACATGAAGTTCATATTTCGATGACAATTAATATTCGACATAGACCACATACATATCCTACTCCTCTGCGCGTTGTGCACTCTCGATTCAATTGACATGCCTTGTTAGCCCTAAGCAATCACACGTCAATTCATGATTGACAAGTTGTCAATGTCTCGTCGATAAAAGAGTACAAAAATAATAGAACTAATGGCATTTTTGTAGTTAGGAATATAAAGTTTCTGAAAAATAATTTTGTTGCACACCAACCAATTTTTTTGGCGGATGCAAGGAAATGGAGGAATCACTTTCAATTTTTTTCAAAATTATAAAGATTGTGTACGTTTTTGAAGTATAGGTATTTATATGTAGTTGAACCAAACCATTGTGCTTTAATTCATAATCTATCAAATATTATAATTAAAAAAATAAATTCTCAACTTATAAAAATACAACAATAGTTAAAATTGATTAAATTTTCATCTACATTGATTCAATGATACCAAATTCAAAAAATTAAAAAAAAATCACTTAAAAACATTATTTCTCTACGCAGCCCCCGATATTAAACAATTCAACTAACACACTCCCTAAAGTCAAACAACTCAATTCATTCATACTTACCCATCATTTTCTCTCCCTCACCTCTCTCTTATGGAAACAAATTTGGAAGAAAGCAAGGTTCAAAGAAGCTGTACATTTTTTGGCAAGGCTTTCCGAAGTTTGGATAAATTTTCTATTTCACACGTCCCACAGAAAATGCTATGGAAATGGTATACAGGTAAGAAATCTGATACAAATTTTACATAGAACCACATAAAAGCCCATTTTCAAAATTTTCTATTTTGAAAAGCACTGCTTGGCTACAATTAAACTGAAACTGCTAATAGATTCATTAGATAGAGAAGATCACCAAGATTTTGTGATCCCCTACAAATTTATTCCAATTCCAAGAGCTCTGATCGAATGGGTATTGATTGAAAAAGAAAAATCCTATAGATGGGGGAATATAATTAAACATAAAGTTTAGGTAACTGAGTGGTTGTTATTATGTTATAAAAAGGGATATGCAACGGACGTAGCATGAAATATAATCCAATCAAATGCACTTCTAATCATGATATCCCATGGTGGAAACCACTGAATCATGTGGATCCTAAACAAGTAGTGGGGTCAGTCATATGGTGATTCAATTTACAGGTTGAAAATGTCCATATAAGAAGATCCTTGTGGCTCCGGATCCCTCCAATCCAGCCAATTCCAAATCGACCAATTCCGGGATCTTTTTGCAGCGAAGGTTTGTCATCGAATTCTTCAAACCTGAATGAAACTATACATGATTGATCCTACTATCAATCAATCCATCGTAATCAAATCTAATGATACACGTTGGCGATGTTACCTACCAAATAAAAGGCCTGCTAGGTGGTCAACTCTGACAAGGATTTGTACCTTAGGGGATCAGGCAAAATTGTGGATCAAATTCTGTGTACCCAACATTAACAAGGCAAAGGCCATGGGGGGGAGCTGGCGGAGCAGTGGCACGTCTACATGTAGCATTCATCAGGTGTATCAATGCATCATCTTCAGCACCAGCCACTGCTTCCCTTATGGATGTTGCCACAAGGACACGAACCATCTGCCAAGAATGGTCAGCCATGACAATATGATTCAGAACAACCCTAGTTCCAAAGTTTAAAAATCCCATTATAATTCATAAACAATTGAAACAATTTATGAGCCGCCTTCAATCAATGGAGAAAATTTAGGTCCTTTCTACACACACAATCGATACATATGCTAGCAAATATATCACGATCATTAAGCCACTCGAGACTCATTCTTTAGTCATTCCCACATCTCAATGCTTTAGGCAATTTTAATGTATCTCTGGAAAAGAGTGGCTCTCAAGATATATTGCTATGATAATTTTATGGAGCTCAAGGCCCTTGGGCTGACAGGTGGCACCAAGCCATTGGAACTGAAATTTTTAAGTTCAGAATTTCAATATAACTTTACAGATAGCATGTTAACAAGATGATCAATAAAAAGTAGCTACCTTACGTAAGAAGCGGTTCGCAACCAACTCAATACACATTGCCTTTGTATGCTTTCCATCCTCCAATTAAAACAGAAAATGAAGTAATGCTATCAGTAATGTAACTGAAATTAGTATGAGTAGATATATCATTCATGAAGGTGGCTTGACCGATATATGAACTCAGAAATTACAAATGCTGAATATTACAGAACAAACAAATAATATCCAAATTCCTGGAGTGGCATGCACAGACTTTTACTTTCTGGCAAGGAATCACTTTTGTTGGTCCCAATTCAGTATCAGAAACTATACCAACCATTGCCCAACATTTGTTAAATTAAACATTATTTCTGTGTCATTAACCAAATGATTCCTAGATACATGGAAACAAGATCTATAAAACAAGTGGACAGCATATTTCCTGCACATTTATCTTGTTTAAATTCACATGTTTATTGCCCTCTCCCCTTTTCCGGTAAGTAATGATTGGGGTTTCAACATGTTATATATTGTGCTTAAATAACAAGCATGTAGTCTTGTTCAACAGAAAACACAATGATGACAAACAAGCAGAGTTTTACAAATGTACCCACACACATCTCATGGACTAGAAGAAAACATGAACCCAAGGCAATTGAAATTTCAAAATGGAAGTAGAGCAAATTAACANTCTATAAAACAAGTGGACAGCATATTTCCTGCACATTTATCTTGTTTAAATTCACGTGTTTATTGCCCTCTCCCCTTTTCCGGTAAGTAATGATTGGGGTTTCAACATGTTCTATATTGTGCTTAAATAACAAGCATGTAGTCTTGTTCAACAGAAAACACGATGATGACAAACACGCAGAGTTTTACAAATGTACCCACACACATCTCATGGACTAGGAAAACATGAACCCAAGGCAATTGAAATTTCAAAATGGAAGTAGAGCAAATTAACAAGACTAGTGATCGTAAGAAACCTTTGCAGCACATGGCAAAGTGGCTTCGGTGGCGCGAGCATGGAAGACAAAACACTCCGTTGGTGGACCACTGAAATATGAATACCATGGAGATAAATGAGTAACTGGTCCAGCAAATAAAAATCAAGTCCATGTCCAGATTTCATAAAGTGATTTTTTATTCTTTTTTACTAAACATCTAACACCCTGCTGACCACCTCGAGCAATCTAATTAATTTCAAAACCTCATCGAAGTAAAATCAGACTTGGATTATATGCAAATTTATATTGCTAGGCCCGGATTGAATTAAATATTATCTTTTTCTATGCTAAAAGAAAAGCACTATTAAACAGATGAAACTAATTGCCAGTTTAGAACACACCACAAGGGCCCACCTGTTACATTTGACCAGAATCGGGTTGAAACTGGCATATGCATCAAATTGCATCTGCAATCGAAAGGCCCAATCAAATCAATTCTTTATATTATAGCACTTGTTTTAGGAGTTTTAAACCACTCATCTCTATGTCAAAACAGAGACAGATAGGTACACACCACAAGCAACATGGCAGCACTAACCGTTTTGCATTCAAGATGTCCAGATCTAATACAATTGATGACAGTTTCAACAGATCTTACTGAAGAAAAAAAAAATCAGAACGCAAGATAGTAGAGAACTCGAAAGCTATAAAAACTTTCAACAGCATGGACAATGTGATCAATATAAACCATGCATATTTGAGCAAACATGTAACTGATTCAGTTTCTGATCCAAATCAGATTCCCATTCCAGTCCAGTCCAGACACAGGAAATTGGATTTCCCCTCATAGTTAAAAAAAAAAAAGTAAAATGTGGTTCACTTTTTATATCAGAAACCAATTGGAAGCCAAAGAATTCGTCTCACAATAACGGCAGCTTAAAAAAGGATGTCAAATTGATGAGTAGAAAGGCCAGGAAGGACAAATTTAGTAATCAAAATAAATCTAAGAAGTTACAAGTTGCAGAAATTCACACTCAAGAGTTCAATCATTTGCAACTATAAACAATGGCCATACCCTTCATTAGGGGCATAATTCAAGTTGAATTGCGCAAGAAAGATAAGGACAAGAAACTTCGCAAAACCATGACAAAAGACATGTTTTGTATTATCCATCACAATACAGACCCTAATGGAGCAAAGTAGTCAGGATGACTTATTTACCTGACCCCAAAGGGTAAGGAGAAACTATGAACATCAGTAACTATCCAAGTGTGATAAAAAAATCTAACCAATCCAATGTACATGTGTAACTCCACTTGTGAATGAATGCATCACAGGGACGTGCATTGTACACCTGTGAATGTATGTGTATCTGCTTGTACATAGTGATTCATAACAGGAATTTCTGATACATAATTTAAAATAGATAAGCACCTGAATTTAATCTAACCATATAATCCTTGCACATATTTCAGATAAAACTAATCCAACCAGAATCTCCATCAATGATCAGATGCATATGATTGAGGCCATGTGAGCAACATAACTACCTAACATGATTTAATTCTTACGTGTTTCTCGAGGCTTTAGTATCCCGAGCGAACATCTTGTAGGACAACAACTTTCCTTCTAGCTGACGTAGGAGTTGGTTGACCTTGCTTACCCTGAACTTGGATAGTTGTTTTGGAAGTTCTGGTTTATGCTTGTCATTTTCGAGTAGATTTTCAACATCTTCCTCACGAATGTGTCCACTAAATTCATTTCTTTGGCCATCATTAGTTTTAACACAATCAATATCTTCAAAAGCCTCCTCATTCTGACTGCTTCGCTCTCCCTCCTCTCCATCACAGAAAGGGAAGATATACAAATAGCGCCTCCATTTGGCAGCGAAATTAGGATGAAATACACGTGATACCTATGACGGGTTATACTGACATTAGGACCTGGTGTAAGAGTTACAATTAAGCAAAGAAATAGCAACAGGTACAATTCTCCAACTGATACCAACAAAGACAAAATCATAGGCTCAGAGAATTGACACAATAAAGGAACGAAGAGTACATTGAGTCTGATCCTGTGCATGGATACACAATAGCTGAAGACCACATTACCTCAGCAACAGATATGACTCTGAGCTTTCCTGGTGCTGCACTATTGATGGCATATTCAATATCTCGAGCTTTAACATCCTGTCTCCAAGTATCTAGACATACAAGCAGTTGGAGGACAAAGTGAATGTTATTCTAAAACCATGAACATGAGGAGGTGAAATTTTTTTGACAAAATTTGTGAAGACTATAAAATAATTCAGACATTTCACTGTAGATTGCAACTGGTTTCACATACTGAGTGAACCAAACTATGCAGTTCTATTATTTATGCATGCATATGAACTAATGTCCAGAAAGGAGAGTAGAATGCTCATAACTTTTGTACCAAACATTTAAAAAAAAAAAAGAATTTAATTTATTCTCCAGACATGCCATGCCATTTAGGTCCTAATTCATAACACAATAAAAGCATGGCTACAAATCAGCAAAAGACAATGGGTATCACAAGGCTATGAAAATCAAGATGCAATCTAATATACATCACTACAAACATTCATTCAAACACATTTATGTATACACGCAATACGTATATATACATGCACACACATGTTTATATATTCAGGCAATGAAATGATGAATTAATACGGTAAGCATGACATACAGAAAGAACAAACTTGTTGCCAAGCCGTCACTCCTTTATCTGTCCGGCCAGCAACTGCAGCACAGCCTTCTACTGGTAAACCCTTGTCTTTCAGCAGTTGAGCTTTATTCTCATCAACAAATTCTCCCAAAGATCTTTCAACTAAGCTGTATGGAGCAGCCATCAAGACACATGAACAATACAAAGCGAAGAAGAAATTAGTAATTCCACATTGATTCATTTTATATCAACCTCGTCAATAAATAATTTTGACATTTTATAATAAAGGGAAAAAAGTCATCGCCTATAACTTTCCAAATTCATGGAATGAAAAAAATAGTTAGCTACTTTGTGAAAATAAGAAACTCAGATTTGTTTTCATTAGCAATCACACGCATAAAAATGCAGTTTAGACTGGACTTATTGCGGATTCGTTACAAAACATTAATTCAATGTGCCAAACAGAATCATCCTTGAAAACCAAAGCAAATGAAACAAAGTACCATAAAGAAAAATTTGTCATCTAGAAGATAGCATAGTAAATATGGTGACCAGAGTATCAACAAAAGAATAATAGCTTAATTTTACCTCCATCCAATATAAATGATGATCCAAAAATTATAAGTCATTCGGAAAAAATACCTCTGAACAGTGTTCAAGCCAGGCTGCCTCTGCCACCCACCAAAGGAGCCCCCATAATATGAAAGGACTATCTTAAATGTTACTCTAGCCCACTTTCCAGTTTTATTTTTAGTCGGGACACTCACCAGGCCAGATTCATCAGACGCCTCTACAATGTCAGCATCATCATCAATAGGGTGTGTCTGTGAACAAATCTCTCCATAATAAACCAAACACATAACAATCTAATTGTATACACTTTAAACAAGTTGATAGAAAGGAAATTCAATAACCTTGTGAAGTGAACATGTAATATCTTTGAAAATCTGAAACTAAAACACTGTTGTGCAGAAAAATAGACCTGAAAGTAAAGTACATAACAAGAACCAACAGTTCAAAGAAGAAATCATATCCATGTAAAATTGGTGTCATTTATTGCACTTCTCAGACGCTTCTAGACAGAGGTCCCATATATCTTGGGACAGTATATAAAGAGACGGTTGATCACAGTCAATGTGCTGATATGGGGTCCTGCTTAACCAAGGATTTCTGAAATCCTAGCAGTGGTGGTACCAAAAGTTCCGTATTTTTCCTATATCTCGGATGTATCAACATCCAAAAATCAAATTCCGAACCTCAAACAATTTTCATTTCTGTATACTAGAGAAATGTGCCAAACAAGCCTCCAACATTCAGAGCCAACTTTCTTTTGATGTAGGGAAAAGGGAATAATTCTTAACAGATTTTTGAAAAAAAAAGGCTTTCGATAAAGCTCAGTAAAGATTGATGTTTAGAAAACAGAAGTAATTTATAACAAGATCTCATTCCAAAAGTAGGATGGAAGAAGGAAAGACACGTCAAAAATTATGTGCATACACGTATGTGTAAGCATGCATATGTAAGTACACAGTTAAAACATGCCCGTCTTGACGGCGTTGATTAGGAAATAGTTGTTACTAATTTCAATGGAAGTGACACTGGTGTCACAAGCACAGCGTTACATTGGTTGATCGTAAAAGTATGTCTTTCATAAACCATATAACCAGAATAGGAAGGGTGGACTGGACCTAACCTCTAGCCACGTTCTTACCCTTAACTACCCTAGCCATATATACACACATTTCTTTGTTGCCAATGTTCCTGCAGTGTAAATAGGAGACTTCAACATGATAGTGTGCCCACATCATCCCACAACCATGTCCATGTTCATGATCGTGCTCCATGCGCTGGGGTTTAATGGGCTTCTAGAATGCTTAACTAATAAGACATAGTTATTGAAGTTAATGACTAACGGTAATAAGATCATAAACGACAACGGGAGAGAGAAATTACACATAGGAGGAAGATGGCCTTGGAGATGTCTGTATTGCTAAAATTGAAGCAGACAGAACAAGAAGAATAGGGTAGGTTTATCACATAGAAGTTGTCCCATAGGTTTCCTTTCGTATTGGTATAAATTCTAATTTTTCTTCCCCAATCCCCTTCCCAACAAAAGAGGAGACAAAAAGCAAAAGTAGTTCTCACCCAAAAAAGAAAAGGAAAAGGTTAAATTATATAAAAAGGACTTTCAGAAATAATCCCCCTTGGGTTGAGTTTGGCAATGTAAAGCGTCAGGATATATTGGTTTCTTATTATAATCATACATTGTGCAGAGCTTACTATGCTTGTAAAATATCTGTCAACCAAGAGATACCAAAAGCCTAAAATCTAGTCAGTTGCATTCATCCTTGAACATGTGAATTAGTTTACTTCAGTGCATGTATCAATAATTGCCAGTTTTATAAGATGTAATCTACCAGCAACAGTGGGGATGGTTCCACACTTGTGACAGATCCCATAATAACATGGAAATTTGCACTTTATATGCCAAGAATCAATGGCCCTAGTTTCAAGAGAGTGCAAAGCAACCATTGCTTAACTTTAACAGAATCCGTTATCATTCGCCATTGTTTCAAACAATTCAAATAAGGAAAATAACCTATTGCTTAAGCTCTACTGATCTACTTTCCATTTCTTGTTCAGCTGCATTACTGAAAAACTGGTTCAGTGCAATCTAAAAATCCACAATTAAGGCAATTTCGGAAAAAGTTCAAAAGCCAATGTTTAACAATTTTCCATGAAACTTGAAGCCTGGACACTAAATACAAACATATCCAAAATCAAAATTTTGCAGATGACCCACCTCAATTCCAAACAATGCCGACAATGACACCTGACCCCTCACCAAATCAGAATAATAATCAAGAACTTGTTGCCACGGTCTGGCAGACATGAATTGGTAACATTCCCTGCCAAAGCAAATAAATTTACATTAGTCGGAGGCATAACAGAGTAGTTAATGGTCCTGAAAAGGCAACAATTTCAGCCATTTGTGGAAGTAGGTTTTAGCTCAAGAAGAAGTTCAACTGAGTTGACTCAGAACCGACCTCAAAACTGACTCAAGGCTTCCTACAACTACTGCGCTCAATGAGAACCCGACCGAGCCAACTCATAATTCAATACTTCCGCGACGACATCACCGAGTCGGGTTCAGGGTCAACCCATGGAAGCTAACGAGTTGACGCACAACCGAATTCTTCGACTCAATAGTCAATACACTCTCAAAACCGTGTTCCCTCTTTGTTCACACACCACCTCCAACAACCCACCAGAAAAAAAGAACAAATCGAAGAAATCTTAGAATCAAAAAGGCTTGCCATAACCAAGTCGACTCGCTCCGGTGATATCGACTGCTCATATTAAAGCCTCAACTGATAACTGAAAAAAGAATAAAAAAATCAAGGGTTTCAGAGGGAGAAATAGAGGTTTACATACTTGGTAGTCCACCTCGAGTACTTGGAAGCATCGGTGTGATCATAATACGCATAAACCTTATTCTGAGTCTGCCTTTCCATTAGATATCTCGGAATCTGTGTCACCCTCGGGTACTTTATCATACCCTCCTTTGTTCCACTCTCCGAAAATCTGAAAGTATCGAAGGAAACCTCCGGCTAAGGCGAGGGACAGAGAACAAATTGAGATCCGTTTTTCTGTCGGTTTGGAACTTATATTTTTCACGCTTGCAAAAAACAAAATAAAATGTTGGGAGAATTAGAGCAACTTCGAGGGGGGATTTGTAAAAAATGGAGTGTCAAATGTAATTTTGTAATTTTGAACGGTATTTTAGCATTCTTGAACAATATTTCTGCTCTAATGATAGGTGTCAATATGAGATGTCATTTTAATATTTTTTATTATAAAATTTAATTAAACTTAACAATTATATTTTAATGGGTATAATTTTCATAATTATCGCAATTTAACGGATATATTTTTATAGTAAAAATTTTAATTTTTAAATTTGAAATTTTAAATTTCAAAATTTGTCTGTCGAAATTCAAATTTCAAATTTTAACCGTTGAAATTCAAATTTAAAAATTTAATCGCCAAAATAAAAATTAAAAAAAATATAATTTGTCAATAAATATGATCATTTTCCTCATGTTTTTATCCATCTATCTTACATTCTCTCTATAAATTCAATATCTCATTTCTCTTTGACTATTTATCCTTTCATATTTTCATTCATTAAGTTATATGAATCGTTATCCTAATATTTTAGGAGATATCCTCAATATTAAAGAAGAAGATAATGATAACTTGGAAAATGTAGTATGCTACAACTATAAGGCCTGATGGGTCTAGTCAGGGACGGATAAGAAGGCATCGTGGTTCCCTTCCAGGCCACATAATAGTTAATCATGGTAGAGTTGAAGGTCACGAAAGACTATCGTGACTATTTTGCTACCTCTTGTGTATATGAAGATTTTTTTCGAAGAAGATTCCGAATGAGTCGTCCTCTTTTTCTCCGAATTGTAAATGAAGTTGAACAACACTATCCATATTTCATCTAACACAACAGATGTCGTTGGAGTTCTCGGTTTGTCATCCCTTCAAAAAATAATAGTTGTTTATAGAATTCTTGCTTACGGAACACCGATAGATTCTGTTGATGAATACATCAGAATTAGAGAAAGCACTGCCATACAGAGTCTGATAAGGTTTGTGAAAGCTGTTGTTACAGTGTTGACGACCATTACCTGAGGTCACCAAACAATATCGATATTGCTCGATTGCTACAGACGGGTGAATAACGTAGCTTTCCTGGCATGTTAGGGAGTATTGATTGCATGCATTGGAAGTGAAAAAATTGTCTTACCGCGTGGCAAGATATGTATACTTGTCATTGTCATGAACCAACAATCATTTTAGAAGTTGTGGCTGCTCAAGATCTTTGGATATGACATGTTTTCTTTGGGCTTCCTGGTTCGCTGAATAACATAAATGTTCTAGATAGGTCCCCTGTTTTTGCATTATTAGCAAATGTTCATGCTCCTCCAGTCAATTATATAATTAATGGTCATGAGTATATAATGGGATATTATTTAGCTGATGGTATTTATCTAAACTGGTCGACATTTGTAAAAACAATTCCCTGTCCACAAGGTTTGAAGAAAAAATATTTTGCTAAAGCACAAGAGTCGGCAAGAAAAGATGTAGAGCGAACATTTGGGGTACTTCAAGTCTGTTTTGCAATCGAGCATGAACTAGCACGCTTTTGGAATGAAGAAACACTTGCAGATATTATGAAAGTATGAATAATAATGCATAATATGGTCATTGAGGATGAAGGAGATATTGGTAACAATGACTTTGATGGAAGTGATACAAATCCGCCTGTAGAAGTGTCGGATGCGTATACACCAGAATTGGAAAATTTCATGCAAACTCATTGTCAGATCAGGGACAGTGTTACTCATTCTCAACTGCAGTCAGATCTTATCGAGCATTTGTGGGAACGACATGACGACTAATTTTCTCAATCTCAATTTCAATTTCAAGTTGTATTTTCAATTTCAATTTCAAGTTGTATTTTCAATTTCAATTTCAATTTTATGTTGTACTTTCTTTCAATTTCAATTTCAAGTTGTGCTTTCAATTTCAATTGAAATTTCAAGTTGTACTTTCAATACATAGTTTTTCATAAATAATAGCAACATAATAAATAATGACTAAAAATTAAAAAATAATAGCAACATAATAAATAACGACTAAAAATTAAAACCCTGCTTTTTCATAATCTCTATCTTCAAACTATTCCAATATGTTGCAGAAATTGGGTCCATTCCAGTAGTGTCAGTTTCCATGATTTTCATTTCATTCTGCTTTTCAATTTCTTACACCTGTCTTTCTTCAATTTCTAACTATCTACGATGTTGCTCCAATGTTATCTCTTGTTAAGCATAAATTTTATCGTGTCGCTCAACTTTTTGTCGTTCCACTTCCATTCTTTTCATTCCAGTGGTGATGATCTAGTGATGCTTCAACACCGGTTTGCTTCTCTTTGTTCTTCGAAGCCTTTCTGCCCAATGGTCTATCGAGGTTGGGAGTGGACGAGGGTTTAGTGTCATCCCCTAAATATGGAGTTGAATAGCAAGATTCAACATGATTTGATTCAACATGACTATCAATTGAATGAGTTTTTGCTCTCTTATTGCTGATGAGATTATCAGTGCATTTTCGCTCCATTTTCAATATATTCCAACAATGCTCGTATTGAAATAGTTTTTCAATGATCTTAGTAATCATTTTTTTTGCTTCATCAACCTGAAAAACATATGAAATTATTTAGTAAATAGTTCAAATATCAAATCATAATAGTGTCTATATAAAAAAGCTCAATAATTACATTATCTTGCTCAGTGTGTCCACTTTGTCGTAGTCTTTCAATTTGACTATAAAAATTGACAAATTTGTTGTATTTTGCATTTATATCTGACCAACAACTTTTAATAGATGTTTGGGAACACTCTTCTTGATTGCCTCGATGAAGTTCTACGTATTTCAATATTCTAGGCTAGAAAGCACCACCTTGTTGTTCATTCCCAATAATTGCATCTTTACTTGTGTTAAGTCACGCAGACACAATTAATGTATCTTCTTCTATAGATAAGTTCTTTGTCTTTTGCGATTTTTCACTCTTCGAATGACTTCACTTTGTACTGGCGTCAATACTGTGAGATTGGTCTGTACAACTTCATCATATAAATCGGTGTCGTTCATAAACAAATCAGTGAAAGAATCATCGTATTGTGAATCCATCTATAAAAAAAATATAATAAATTTAAAAGATAAGATAAAATAATCAATGGTGTAATATGACAATACAAAAATAATTAATAGTGTAATATAACAATACAAAAAAATAAAATGATGTAATATGACAATACAAAAAAATTTAATGGTGTAATATGATAATACAAAAAAATTAATGGTGCAATATGACAATACAAAATAATTAAATGGTGTAATATGACAACACAAAAAAATTTAATGGTGTAATATGACAATACAAAATAATTAAATGGTGTAATATGACAATACAAAAAAATTTAATGGTGTAATATGATAATACAAAAACATTAAATGGTGTAATATGACAATACAAAAAAATTAATGGTATAATATGATAATACAAAATAATTAATGGTATAATATTTAATCCCTACCCCCTTCCCCTGCGATTCAATCCCTGCCCCCTTCCCCTTCCCCTTCCCTTTCCCCTTCCCCCTTGTGATTCAAACCCTTATCCTTCCCTTTCCCCTTCCCCTTTCCCTAATCTTAAACCAAATCACCCAAAATTAAAACATATACCAGTGAGGCAAGGAGACAACAACGAGACAACATACACCAGTGAGGCAAGACGATTTTCAGGCAAGTAGACATCTCCTTCCCTTTTCCCTTTCTCTGTATTTTTATAGGAGTTTTGGGATGAATATAGTCGTTGAAATGAACAGTAGACTCAACGACTCTTTTGAAACCTCTCTTATTCTCTCTCCAAAGTTTACAAATTTGCCACCCCAAACTCATAGTTGCCATTTTACCACCCCCTTTGGAGTGATTTTTTTTTTTATTTTGGGGTGACATTTTGGCGGTTAAGGGTTTGCCACCCTAGATAGCACTCCTCGTTGGAGTTGCTCTTACACCTAAAATTCACTGTTGTTTGTCGCTTGACGCTCGGATTTTCTAACATTTAAAATATTACATACAGACTTTTTAAAATTTATATTCACATAACCTGTAGGCCCATATTAAAAGAATTACATCTAAAATTCATGATGTTTGTCCCTTAATCACTCAGATTTCTTAACATTTAAAATATTACACAAAAACCTTTTGAAATTTATATGCAAGTAACACTTAGACTCTTTCGTTATATATATATATATATGATAGTATATCCATTAATAAATTACACTCAGACCCTCTAAAATTTATAAACGTACAATACTTGGATAAAAAATACTTCAATCAAAGATAGAATATTAAATATTTTAAATTTTATAATCAAAATTCATGTTCTATTGTATCATTTATTGAAATAAAATTAAAAATAAAAATTTAATTTTTTCTTAAAAAATTTATAATTAGTATACAATTAAACTATCTGTTGGAATAAAACTAAAAGATCCAACAAGGAGTCTAAGTTATTCATAATAAAATATGAATTTTATAATCAAAGTTCATGTTCTATTATGACATTTATTGAAATAAAATCAAAAATAAAAACCTATTTTTTTCTAAAAAATCATAATTGGTGTACACTATCAATTGGAATAAAATTAAAAAAAATTAAATAAGGGGTCAAATTGTAACACAATATATTCTAACTTTTATTAGAGTAAATTGGTAGTTTAATTTGGTCGTTTAAACGATCAAATTAAATTTCAATAAATAGTATAATTATAAAAAAAAAATTAGATTTTTATTTTTAATTTTATTTCAATAAATGTCATAATAGAACATGAATTTTGGTTCTAAAATTTAAAATATTTTATATTCTATCTTTTATTAGAGTATTTTTTATCTAAATATAATATTTTAAATTTGAGATGTCTAAGTATTACACGCCTACAAACTTCAGAGCGTCTAGATGTAATTTGCTAACAGATTGACAGCTAGGGTCTAAGTGTTATGCGTATATAAACTTAAGGGGATTTGTGTGTAATATTTTAAATATTATGGGGTTTGAGTGATTAAGT